TAGGTGATGCCTTCAATAGAAAGTCTAGAAGTGCTTTCTATCAGTCGTTTTCGGCTGACATCTGCGAGTAGATCATAATGGTTGAGAAGGTCCGTGGCAATGACAAGCATAACGACATCGGCAATGAGGGGAATCCACTGAATAGGTTTGCGTAAACCTGAGTTCAGATAGACGCACTTCCTACCAAAAGTTGCAGTCGCTTTCCCATTCGCAGCCTGAGAGTTGAAGGTAGGTCCCTTCTGTAGACCTCCACCTGTAGTAGGAAGGACGCTGGCTTCAGCACTGTGTCAACCAAGAGGCGGGTGTGGTTGATTACATCGCTGACGTATAGAAGACTGCTGCTACCACTGGTGACGGTTGCCACTAACGCGTCCCGGTGTGATACTTTCTCAAAGTCTTTGAGTTTTTGCCAAAAGTGCGGGGATTTCGGCGATACTTCGCTTCCTGGCCATAGCTACTGTGACATCGATACCAGTGAGGGTTTTTGAGTGAAGGTAGTTTGGAATTTGACTTACGGTATGGGATTCGCTGCTGAGGGGAATTCTGTTGATGTTAGGGGGAATATGGAGACTGTTTGGAATACGTAGTTGCTTAGCGGAGTCGCATTACTCTGTCCCCTCAGTGTCCCCTCTTAAATCCACATGAATTCTTCCCCAGATCTGACAAGATGCAGGTCATCATTTCTACGATACATTCCCATGGGACATTTTGTGCAGAAAACTGGAACGCCTCTTAGATCTTTCGCTAATGTCAGCATCAATTTCTGGCCACCAGCACGTCAGGCAAGCTAATGATTTCATCTTATCAACTCCCAGATAAGCGAAATGAAGATCATCCAAAATCCTAGATGTTAATGTCATTCAGCCATAGGAATCCTTGAAGATAGACTGAAATCTCGTCTCTTGACTAACGGATGTTTGGAAATCTTCTCTTACACTGAATATTCCAACCTATTTTAGTTGAATTTATAATACTCCCGTAATATTTCCGAATATCGTGTATAAGTTGAACTCATTCCTTAGGTAACGACTGAACTAATAAACAATCAGTCATGAGGAGAATCTTCAAATAATGAATAATGAGGTAAAACGTCTGCATTGTGTATATCCTTTGCCGCTCGATGCTCAGTAGTGTAATCATAAGTATCTAGTTCTAAATTCTATCTTTAAACCATAATAGCAGGTGTTCTATCAAAAGATATTTCTGGATTGTAATTGAATTTCGTAACCTGATGACCAGTTACTATGGAAAGCTTAGTACCAAAGAGATACTTATGCAGGCGTCTTATTGCCCATGCAACTGCCAGAGCCTCTTTCTGGGTTTGCAAATATCCTTCTTCACTCTTACTTAAACGCCGTGAAATGCAAATAATAGGTTGTCCATTTCGCTCGCGTACTGCAGCTATAATCACAGAAGAAGCATCTGTAGTTAGAAGAGGCTTATGCTTCGATGAGAAAGGTTTTAAGAAAGCTTGTCTATTAAGAAATTTCAAAGTTCTTCGCAGGATATCCTCATGTTGTTGTTCCCACTTAAATCGTTTCCTATACACAATATCCAAAAGCGGACGCAACAGTTGAGTGAAATTGGGAATGAATCTGGAGTGAAACTGAAGAGTACCAATCCATGATCTCAACGACGACATACTATTAGTTGAAGGTGCTTGAATTAGAGGTGGCAAATGACTAGCATCAAGTCTGAAACCCCTCGCAGTCTACTGTGTATCCTAAGTACGATACAAACGACAAAAGTAAGATAACACTTAGACGGATTAACCAGAGTATTTTTTCCATTATGGGTAAAATTAATTTTGATGAAGTCTCAGTGTTATACAACAATATTTATTGCTGATAATCTTATCAAGGTACCTTGATATAATTATGAGCGATAAATTGTGCTTGAAACGTCATCACTAAATATTACTGTATAACACTGTGAGACTTTATCAAAATAATGTTTACCCATAACTCATTCATGTTATGTTCACCAGTTAAATTCGATGTTCTTTGGCAGGTTCAGAGCATTTTTGACTCAGTCAGGGACTAAACAAACGTTCCATTTTCTATTGCATGTGGATAACAGCTGCATATGGACACTTGCCTTATCAACTATGGACAGCATGACATCAGACACCGATATAGTGGGAGCTGGGTATTCACTGCTGACATCTTCGTATGTGATAAATAAATCCTTAGAAGTCTGAAAGCTGCAGGAAGGAATCTAAACTAGCTCTTTCTGTAGCTTTGGAATATTCATCCCAGAAATTAGAAGTTCACGTAATTGAGTATGGAGCTGATCCCTAAGTTGCACTTTGAAGCTTGTATCTGAAGCTGAAGAATAAAGTCTCTAATCTTCTAGTTGGGAGTGCGAAGAAGTTTGTTGTACTGAGTCCTCTCTCGTGTTTCGAAAGTTGTTATATGAAAGCGATCTGTTAGAAGTTCACGAAGTTTATCACATGATAGACAGATTGGTTTATCTGGAAATGAGAGAGTTTTCACTAGACTGTACGCACCTAGTCTAATCGCAGTAATAAAATGAGCTGAAATTATGCCATCACAAACATTCTTTTGACACAGATCATGCCTAAAAGCATTCAAGATAATTGGCGATTTCCCGCGGCGAACCGTTGATAGTAAACCTTCCAAGATTATTTAAATCCTGCTCGAAAGGCCAAAATTTAGTAGTTATTTGTGATAGAAGTATTCCGCAATGACCAAATCATAGGAAATCACACAACAATGCAAAGAGGGCTGAACTTTGGAACTTGTATTTGGCAGAATTAATTGTAATTCATGTAATAAATATTAACAAACAGTAGCGAGCATTTAAACAGTACAGTAACAGAAATTGTCAGTCACCACAAGTACCTTCATCAAGAATGTCACTCTTAGGTCTAAGTCTGATCTAAAAATTAACTGAAGTAATAAACTACGCAGTAGCTTACAGCTAAAACAATGAGTTACTGGAAATTTCTTCTACCATTATGCGTAACTGCTAGTTTAAGTTATGCCAAAGTTATTTCGCAGGTGGTGTCAAAATTTATGAAAAAAACGTACATTTGAAATCTGCTGCTCAATATACAATAATTCAAGTCAGAGTACAATTGTTTTGAAACGCATTTGTTGTGCCCAGTTTAACAACAACTGAAGTGTTCTCTTCCTCGAATTTCTATCTTCACAACATTCACCTTTTGCAGCCAATTGCATACAATTTATCTCTTGTGACTGAAAATAGATTTTAAGCGAAGTTACTGTAACTACAGAGCAGTTATTAAATATTTGTCAACTCTTTTCCATTTACTACTAAAAAATTGATCGGCGATGATATCCTGAATTTATGTTGAAGATCAGTCATTTTCATAGCCAGTCCTAGTTTAAATAGCTTTTGTTATTTATCATTACCAATGTCCTAAATAAAATTTCTGAATGTGTGTAGCGGAAACCTAGTTCATGTGGTCCATGTGACATTAAAATAACTGAAGTCACACCGATTTCACTCAAGAAAAAAATGATGAATATTGATACCATTTTCTCTCCCACTCAGGGTCAAATCATTCTTGAAACAAAATGAAACTAAAACAACATAAAGTATTCCTGATTACTTCATAGTAGCAGTTTATAACTTTTCAAGGAATAGGATGTATTCACTTTGTTATTTTCCTGTCCCTTAAAATTACTGATGATCACAGTGATTTTTCTACTAAACCATTTTGGCTGCTATAAGCATGCTTGGCATGATAATAATAAAATAAAAGTGATTCATTGAGCTATTTATAATAATCAGGTATCGCAAAATCTACCTGATTAAGTACTTCTGAAGCTTGATCTAAGGATAGATAAGTTGGCTGGAAAACTACGGTTATTGAGTTGATCTGAAACTGTGGGCACATTGAAAGGCTTTTAAATAAACTCCCATTTGACGGAATTTCTATTCTTTTGGAGTATTCTTTACTATTTCTGGCTTGTTCACCCACAACTTTAGTCAAATTATTATGAAATCGTAAAGTAGCCCTATAATGAGCACTAATTCTTATTGTTAGAGAATTTTTTTTTATCTAAAATATCCTTTGGATTAGTTTTTAAATTGAGAACTTGGATGGTGGATAATAAAGTTTATCTACTCCATTTAAAGATTGCTATAAGTGTCAGTTACATGGATGGTGTTAACTACCCGTAGAAAAATAACAGTAAAATTATTTCACTAGGATTCCCAAATCCAGCGGCAGTAGTTAAGCGAGAGAAGGTTTTTGTTTGAGTAGCTTCCAAAATTTTGCTTCTCTACGCCGCTCTAAAATAAAGACAAAGAACTACTTCTATTTTTGTTAAAAACTTACGAAGAATCAGTTGATTTTGAACTAACTCCTACATAGAGTTATTAGATAGATAACCATTAAATTTACAAGATCCCTGCACATCTGTTTGTTCAAGTGATCTTCAGTGAAACACAATACCTTCAGACACGCGATACCTATCTCAATTGGCTTACCTAGATCACTTGCCTTTCTTTAAATATAATGCAGTAAGATTGAGGTACTGACTATTTTGACAACTTTAGTTCTGTATACCCAGCTACAGAAAAATTGCACATCTCTAGGCAGACAGTAATGATGATGTAATCCTCCCAACTTGAATTTTGGACGTCTCAAAACAGAATAGAAGTGACTTCTTCTGGGCAACCTTTTTTACCCGAATAATGTTTAATATAAAGCTTTACTAAAAAAACATATTAAAATGAATAAATATCTGGAATAACCGTGAACAATAAACTATGCTAGATACACCAAACGTAAATACCAATAATGCTGTATATCAGATGAAGTTATAACTTACATGATATGGATGCATAGCTGTAGGACCTGAAAAGAAAGTTGTCGTAGAGAAATTTATTTTCCTCAACCTCATGCTCTTAATTCTTATTGGTTGGGGTCTGCTGACCAACCAAATGCTCCTGATAAATTACCAAATGAGACAATTTGTTCAACAATATCTAAAGTAATCCGATACCTTCCCTTTGTGTTTCAACAGATGTAGGGGAAATGAAAGTCTCTCTCATATGATATCAGTAAGAGTTTTTATTTATTTAAACAATTTCTACTTAGAGGTTTTTTGCAGAAGGAAGGCGTATACAATGACTACAGATGATGGATTAATTCAGGTATACTTCGACTATTATTAAAAAGATCGTGAATAACCCATTGAACTAAAAAGATGTTCTATGATATAGATGTCGATAAATCTGGGGTTATTGACTGTGATGAATTGAGGCAATATTTGCTCAAAAAAGAATTCGGCGAATTCTTCATTTCGGTAAATATAACACTTGTCCGTTTTGATTAGAGAACATAAACACTTGTAGAGATTTCTCAAAGTGTTTGATTCTAACCGTGATGGTAAGATAACTTTTGAAGAATTTCGCATTGGACTACATAAAATTCCGCATACACAGAAAACGTAAGTTGTAATTTCTTTGTACTGAATAAATTATATTTTGTCTCTAATATTCATTAAAAAACCATATATTTTCACCATGACTTTTTAAGTAACATCGTGAATATGTTTTGAAATTAAAGAACAGTGAAATGATAAATTTCAGGTACTTCCCTGTCTCATGTAAATTGGTTCTTCAGAAATTACATTTTACACGGATTATCTTATACTTACCTTTCAATTCATGGTGTTATAGAAATATAATTACACCAACTGTTAACCCGATTTTTGACTTATTCGATTTTAGCAAAAAACCTCTTCATCGTAATATTTGATTCGGGTATGGTTTCTTAAAACTACTTGATGGATTTCATAATAACTCACCATTATTTGTAGTTTTGCTGTCATCTGAAGTCTATTTGAATAAACAATTGTATATTCTTCAACTAACCTCTGTATGTGTTGATTTCCACAGTCTGTGAAATGAAAAACCAACACTTGAATATCAATGAGATGTTGACTAGCGACTTGCCCTATTCAGGTAGGTAGTTACCTGGAGTTCTGGGGAGAAGTCGTGACCAGTAGGGTGCAGCAGGTCGGGTGTAAGGACAAATACTCGCCGAAGACATTTGTTAGAGTTCGCGCTATGTCGTGGATTCGCAGAACTTGGAATTCGTGGGCCATTGGATCGGGTCCCAGTGGTTAGTGGTATACGAGCTCGCCTTGTAACCAGAAGGTCCTGGGTTCGAATCACGGTGGGTGCGTGCTGGCGAAGAGTCTCAAACTAGGGCGAAACAGCTGTCCAGTACTCCCAGGTTTTTCAATGGTTCTCTAACCAATGTCAACTCATGATGAAATCCTGTAAACCAATCAAATCCCTACAAACCAACACTTAAAAAACACTTTATTAGTTTTGTCACGCATATATCACATGATTTTCTCTCCAAAATATTAGCATTCTTTTCTGTGATCAGTCAATAAATAACTTTGTATAGAACAACAACTCATATTTTATTCCAATAACCGACTTTATATTTGAAGGTATACTTCAGCTAGTTATAAATACACTTTTATCAAGATTCTGACTGCAATGACTAATGGAGGTTTGAACTGCAGTAAATTTATATTTGTAAGCTGAAATAATTTTCAAGCAGATTATTTTATTTTTTGTTTTATCAGAAAATTTTAGATTACGTAGGTAGTTTCGTCGATCAAAATTATACAGAGTACAAATTAATGCCACATGGTAATCAACTTAAAATGTAGATGATGAATAATGTAAGTGATTGTCAGTTTAGAGAAAACGGTTATAGATTTTTATTCTGGGATGATCTGTCAGATAACAAAAGTTATAAAACCGTAGATAAAAATACAACTAAATTTTCTCGGTAGATTATTTGCTTAGAAGTCCTAAAATGGACATATGTATTAGCATAATGCCTTTGCATGTCACTGCATATACTCAAACAGATATCTTTGGATAGATGTAATTAAATGAGAAATACGTATCCACTCTGCATATTGTAAATGCAAACTGCTAATATGAAATTCTATTTATTCAGTGAATATAATTATTTCCGCAAATAGAGATGAATAAAGCAAGAAAATTAAAATTACTGGCATTTTTTAAATCTTAAATTATTTGTTGATAAATCTAGCAAGTTAAATCACAACACATAGGAACTGTGATCAAGATTTGATTGGATAGTTGCAAAATAATTGAGCGCTGAGTGAGAAGTAGACATTTATAAAGTTATATTTGTAAAATCTCAGCGAAATTGAAATGATTAATTCCAACATTTCGTTCGGCAATCTGGTCCGAACTTCTTCAGGGAAATTAATCGAAATTAACATAACAAAGTTTATATATAAAGGGACACATCTTGTTTTTAAAATTCTTGTCCAATCATGAATCGTGCAACAGGTATCAACATATATCATAAATAAATAAATAGAATTGTATGTTTATATAAAAGTACATCTCTTATTTTTAAAATATGAATCAATAGGTATACTAAACAAAACAAAAATTGTATGAACTATGATCAAAAACTTTTGACCTCAGACTTTCAAAATTTGTCTACTTTTGTTAAAATATATGTGTGTATGCAGTATATGCAGGATACAATGGTGTGTGTGTATGTGTGATGTTAATTTCGATTAATTTCCCTGAAGAAGTTCGGACCAGATTGCCGAACGAAACGTTGGAATTAATCATTTCAATTTCGCTGAGATTTTACAAATATAACTTTATAAACGTCCAAATCACAACACGTTATACGCATCCACACACTATCACTAAAGAGGATTAAGTGAAACGAGTTAGCAGCTAATAGAGAACAAACTTTTGTTTATCGTTACAATTATGATTTCCAAATGAGTGTCAAAAAGTGCGAAACTTAAGTGTCGCCTTAAAAATACCATAGTACCATTAACTTTTTGTTCCTTTCCATTCATATTTCAGTGTGGTTTTCTAAGTAAGGACACACCAAATAACAAACTCAGATATCTCCTTTCATAATATTAAAGAGCTCAGCATATTGAAATTTCATTGTCCTTCTATAAAATTAATTACCAGTTGATTTCAAAATATAGGAACCTGTTCTTTTTATAAATTAAAGCCTTGAATAACTTTGTTATTACACAATTACAAACAAATTGCCAAATAGCACTTTTAACATTTTATGTAAATACTTTGATGAAATCTGACTATATGAATGAGCTTTAAAGTATACATGAAATAAACACTGCTCCAGACTTAATTAATAGGACTATCTCAAGTATTCTTGAGATTAAGTACTTGAGATTAAGTCTTAAGGATGTGATCTTCAGCTAAACAATTACTTTGGAAATCTGATAGTTAAACTTCAACAAAGTTTATCCTCAGATTGAAGTACAGTGAAGTGACCTTCGATTCATAATGTTACCGAATACTGTGGAAAGAAATTTGTTTTTTCCACAGAATTCAATTCGCGCTACAAATCTAGCAATCAGTTGATAGTCCTAAACATCATACTTATTCTGAGCAATCTAATGAAAGTTGTTTACTGGATAGAAAATATTTTCGGTGCAAACTCTCTCTGCCATATTGTTTTCTCTCACAATGTAAGTATTTTTCCTTGAAGTGTATATGCAAAAATTGTTTGTCAGCGGAATTAGCAATAATGTAATAATAGGAAACTATAAAACAACATGTAAAGGACAGATGTGAAGAATTCATATTTACCAGAATTATTTGTATTACGCACTTACAGTTGGTGGCAACAAGCAACGATGAATGATTTTATGCAATGGTGATAAAAATAGTCGACCCTAACACATAAAATGTCTTGCTATATGTTTTGGTTAACTTGCTAGTTTCTCAGATCTGTCGTAATATTTACATCGAAATCATCTACAAAATCAGGGAGGGTAAATGAATCACTAAAAGAACTCCTTTCACTAATCTTAACATGATTCATGTGTCCGTTGTGAACACAATGACTTTCTTCCCTAACTTTTGCAGAAAAATTGCAAAGGAGGATACATGTTCCCTTCACCCATGATGGTGTATTTTAGACGAAGTCGTAATTGCTAATTGTGTTCGAAGGACTTCTGATGTGACAAGTTAAGCAACATTTTTTGAGCACTCCAGTGTTATGCATTCTGATTCTAAAGCTAGAAGTTACACCCACACATTCCCACAGCTTTTAGACTTTTTGAATGTCCCGAAGCTGCCAACCTAGCTGACTACGAATGAAGTAAGACTGTATGTAGATTATAGCAGTCAATATTTTTGAGGCTACTGTTGAAGGTCTCAGTCAAAAGAGTCGTGTGAAAGGTGGTCAGGGCATTGGTAATTCCTTTTCTGTTGAAAAGCCTTCTCAATAAAAGTTGGAGTTATCATGACAAGAATGAAATAATCACTATACTTGGAGAAGATATACAAATCTTCTGTCTGACAGTCTCAGTGACTTGCATTTTCAATATTACGCTAAACAAAATACCAATTTTCGCTGCTGTTACTCCACCCACTCTAGTGTAAATGCCTTAAATTTATTTTAAAAGTTGTTAGGTGTTCAAAACTAAGTGAAAAAAATCCACGAATATTAGACTTTCACTTCCTGGCAAATGCCAGTAGGAGGCGAATATATTTCACACTGATTTGTATTAAAACTCATTGTTTCCCAGAAATGTGAACTCATGTTTCTCAGCTCCAGGTCGAATAGCTCTATTACTTAGGTCTTCACTAATTATATATATATATATATATATATATATATATATATATATATATATATATATATATATATATATATATATATATATATATATATTAAAGTAGAGACAGTTAACCAAAATCCTGTCAATGACACAATTACCTGAAGAGTTGGAAAGTTGAAAAAAGAATCGGGCCTACGGTAGGATCTACAACCAGGATTTGATTTTATCTCCATCATCTGTTTCATCAAATCGGTTTTCCAAACCAAAGTTGTGTCATATAGTCTGACTAGTAGTTACTTAGACTGCAATTTGAAAAGTACTGAATGATTCACAGATTCAACATGTGCTTTTCTTACTCAGTTGCATGCAAAAGTACAATTTGACCAGGAAGGGAATGACTGTTAGATGTCTTTTACAAGTTCCGTTTAACCACTTTCATATTACTTATTCAAGTGACTTTGATTAACTACAATTGTATGTTGAAGGGTGGTTTTCGAATCACATGGACACAAGACTATGGAGAAAAGGAGACAATTTTTTGTTTTTATCTAACCACAGCTGTCAGCCAATTGTTGATTTTTACTAATTTACTACTTAGTAATACTCAGAATAGCTTCAGCCACAGAAAAAATTGTGAGAGCTCTTCTCGGACAATGCTAGTTTTATTTGTAATTCTACTGAATAATTTCCACTTCCTTTGTGACTAAGAAATTCGCATTTGACACTGGAAGTGATCTTTCCCAGTTCATTAGAACGTGATTAGTGTCCAACACTTAACAGAATATACTTTTGAAAATTACTCTAACGGTTTATTCATTCTTGAGTTGCGCTTAGAACACAGCTCTTCGTAGCTCCATAGGCGGTGTTGTTTGTTTCCTGGGGGGAATTGTCAGCCTTACGCCCAAACTTAAAATTTTCCCTGGTTTGCGACCGACAGGGAATCGAAACTGGACCTCTTTCTCGGTTACCCAGTATTCTATCAGTAAACCAAGGACTCAATTATTTAATAAGACCATGTCGTATTCATTTCAAAAATATTCAAAATTATGATTTATTCTTACCAATAAAAGTGAACATCCATAATTTAGCGATTTCATTTATGATAGAACTCGAATGTTTTCTCAAACCTACTGTTTGGAAAGCACATAGGGATTACAACTGGTATTATTATGAGCAACAGATTGTTTTCAAAATGTTATCTATTAAATAATATTGTTCTATAGTGTGGCAGATTCATTAAATAAATAAATAAGAAAATGAATACAAGCACTATATCTTATTTTAAACGTAGATTGATTACAAATACCACATAATAAACTGGATTACTGATGAACAATTGTAGTTAGTTTAAGTGAGTTGGAACGGCTACTTTTCAAGTCATTTCCTAATTGGTCCTGAGCTAAGACAAATCAACCATTGAGAACTTTTGGGTTTTATGTAGCTTTCTTCCTTAAATCGACCCTTTTATAGTCTGTTTCAATAGTTCATCCTATGGGCAATTTTTCAAATACATATGAAGAAGTAACCAGACGCTTACACTGATTCTTGAATGAAGATTTTTTGACTGAACTTGTTTATTGATTAAGTTTCGATGTTTATGTATTTGTGAACCCATGAGGATTGATATCATTTATAAGCTAATACCAACTACATTGCTAGATAAAGTAATAAATCTTTCATGTACTTAGTCTAATCATTTAACAGAAAGTTTAAGCCTCTTTTGTTTCTATCTCACCCCATGTGTATCTCTCTTCCATAAACTATTAATCTTCGTTATTTTTATTTATCTATCCATCGAAATTGCTGCTAACAAAAAATTTTAGTTTGGAAAATGATATCAATGGATTAAGCTCATATTTCTCATGGCACAAATGTCGATAAACAGAGTGATAATAAGACGTATTTGTTTGGTGTTTGGTCACATGGATACTCTTTGGTGTGTTGCAGAATTTTCTATTTAAATAAGGTTACATTTGATGTTACAGAAAGGAATACAGGAAAACAAGGTTGCTACAAGCGAAGAATAGTTATCACGATAATGTGTGCGTTAACAGTGAATTGCACCTAATACTATTTTGTGGTATTTTGATATTATTATCATTGCCTCATTAATAAAGGTAACTGTAGTAAGCCATATCTAATGCTCACTTATAAGTAACATATCAAATTTAAAAGATAGTTCAGTGAGGAAACCTTTCTTCTCTTATTTGTCTTTTGTTTTCTTCATATCAGATAAGATAGTCATTAAATACTAAAACGTGTGTAAGCCATCTATTGAGGCTAAACTAAACTCCATATGCAGCAATTTCAGAACTCATATGTTACTTCCAAATCGAGTTCTTTCTTCTTGTAATTTCTTGTATTTCTCTGTGTGAATACCCAGTAAATTATATAGTGCATATTTTTAATTCTAGAGAATGCTACAATCTGACAGAAACTAAAGTTGAATGTTGTTTTAGGACAATGAAATACTTCAAACCAAGTAGAAGGTCCTAAATTGTAAAACTAATCTGACCTTATGAAAATAGACAATGACGAAAAGAGTAGCCACATATGAGTAAGGAAGAACTACCCTAGAATATCTTATAAATATGCCAAAACCACTAATCACTTTTTCAGTGATTTTACCTTCGTTTGTTTTATTTTTAATAAGATAAATAAGAATTATATAGGCCATAACACAAGTAGGCGCCCCAAATAGGCTTTTCCAAATAACAACACAAGCATGTCATAAAGGCCTTTAAAAGTTTTCTCACTTTTCCATGCCATTCATGAGTATTCTTTTAACTTATTCATCGGGATTCTATTTATTGCTTCTACATTTATTCCACTTGAATAAATAAAGAGATGTAAGCATTTCAGAAGGCTATTCAATCATATATGCAATGCTTTCAGTATTCAATAGGTTGCTTTTCTGTCTGTATTGCCACGAGAATTCCGAATGGAAATAAGCATTTTCAATAAATAATGGTATAGAGTAACTAACAGAAAGTACTTCAAGCCAGTTAAATAAACAATTTCTTCGTCGTGTGATAGTGAGTAGAATCACGATAGATACAAATTAAATGTACACTCACTAAGCAAGAGAAAGATAGGTAGCACTACAATATAACTGCTGTTCCAAATGTCCATACTTTTCCTTGAGATAACTGGTTTTCCAGTATTTTAAACATACGTATTTATACAAGTATTATCTTTCTTTATCTTTCTAAATACTGCAGTTATTCTTACTGGCATCACATACTGCACAAAGTGGATAAAGACAAAAATGGTTATATCACAACAAATGAAATTTATGATATGTTAGCTGAAAGCGGTAATGGAGAAAAATTCACATCAAAAGAACTTCAAGCATTCATACGTGAATATGATCAAGATGGTGATGGAAAATTGAACTACCACGAGTTTCTTGATTATTTACTTGATCAGCCAACGACAGACGATCAAAATCACGCAACAACAACAAAGACAGGAATTTAGAGTAATACGTTTGCAAGAAATGAATATGAAAATAGTGTTTTGGTAACTCAGAAAGTATACTTAGGAAGGACAATTCTAATAACATTCCTTCACGATTCATAAAGTATAGACAACGTAATTAATATACCCATTCCTAAAAAATGATGGTAACTTCATTTTAACAGAATGAATTCTTGTCTCATGTGTTGTGTTTTTTTCTCTTAAAGCCAATAGTTATTCACTTCTTTTAATATAGCTATCAAACAATAATGCATAATTTCTTCACTATAATTAACGTGCATGACCTGTCTAATTATCTCTGGATGTCGTGAAGCTAGATACGTCTTCTACCAAAAGTGTTCTACAGCCTATGAAGAAGAATACCTATCGGAACTTATCTGTATTGACGTTTAAAAAATTGGCATACGAATTACTCATTTTAATAGGTTAGATAGGAGACAAATAAGTAAATTCCAACTGTCACTATACTAATTAGAAACAACTGACTTAACATTCAGTCAACAAAAATCCCTGTTAGGCCACAAAAACCTCAGTTTATTGTTCTCGTTTTGTCCCGTTTCAAAAACCAAATGCATTAGTTTTTAATGATGGTAATGATTCCACAAGAAAGGCGTTCAACTACTGGCATAAAAATAATATTGGTTACTATCAACATACAGTAATACTATATTCCGAATCAGATGGATTAGCAGAAAAGCTTTTACGCTTATAAAAAGGATATACCAGTGGTGCATCCTAACAATTTGGATGAACTAAAAAATAATTTAGATGATATTTTGCTTCAGGGGTGGAATGTAAAGTGAAAAATCGATTATGAAAGACCTGTGGCAGTAAGTAATTCCCCAAAATTATATGCCACAGCTCATATAATTCATTATTGGGTGCTGATCTTCGCTGTTTAAGTCTACTGGCTAAGAGGAAGGTACGCAGTCAAACTTTTTTTCCATTTTCCTCGCTAACCTGTTGTTTGGTTATTCTTACATGATTTTTAGTTAGTTAACCATTCGTCAATAACCAACGTTAGTCATCACAAATTATGTTTCATATTTTTGTGTACTTTGGCAGTTCTTTGAATCCATTTCTAAATGGGTGAAACAATTTCCTGATAAAGGTAATCCTAATTTTTAGTAGATGTATGAAAAATATCCTGAATGTCGGAAAATTACACATGGAGATATTTAAGCACTATTTGAGCAATACTAATAAAGACAATACTGAAGGCGATATTTGAGATACCACCATGTTTCCGAATAGAAAAGAGAAGCAAAAAAAGTAAAAAACCGCTGGAGAGAGTAGAAGCTAAAGAAGGCTAACATTTTAATACATAATTTAATAATTCCGATTGTAACATTAAGAACACAATATTCAGCGAAGAGATCCTTTCCAACAAATTTATTATCAAGATGTACAATAGGATATACATATGGTTTTTAAGAAATTATATACGGTGAGGGAACTAGATCAAAGGTGTTAGTACACCAAATAATAATAGTATGAAATGAAATGAAATATCTACGATTATAACAATAGTTAAATGTCAAATAGCAAAACAATTAGTGTCATATATAGAATAATTCATAAGGTGTCTATATGTTGGAAAGGGGTGCATAATTATAGAATTAGCAGGCTAATATAAAATGTTACATAATACGGCATGAAATCTGATATGATAGAAATAAATATTGTAAAAAGATTTTTGGGATTTAGAATGACAAGTGATACAAGCGGAGACAGTTCATAGTGAGAATAATAATCGTAGTAATGATGGAAAGGTACATAGATTAACTAAATGAACAAAATAAATAATTATATGCCTAACCCTCTACGACCAAGGGAGAAGTAGGGATTGTACATACTTCTTTTGTACAAAAAGGTCTGGCTTAAATATATGAATAGCCAAGGTCTTCGCTGTCTTTAGAAGTCTGTAACGAAGAAAACACGGCAAGTTAGCATGGATTCGGTAGATGATCTTAAAATCATGGTCAGGGTTGGTAGAGTAACAGGAGTCGACCAGGGGCTGCAGAATACAGCTTCGCACAGACTTCCATTCTCCTTTGTCAAACCATGCTGGAATATGTTTTCATATCCATGTGGAAAGAGTCCTCTGGCTACAGCTAATGTGCTTTGCTCCACAGAAACAGGTGAGCTGGTAGATTCACATGGAGGTGGTCAGACGGAGGGGCTTCCGTTTCACAGAGTTGGAGAACAACATGCAGCTAGTGAATGTCATTTGTAATTTCGCTGGAAAAACCTCTGACTGACTGACTGATTTAGAGTGACGATTTTTGAGCATATCTGAAGCTTAATCACCTTTGAATTTCAAATCCAAAATTAAGGTTTCGGAATTCAAAGTTGATCAAGCTTCATATATGCTCAAAAATCGTCTCCCTAAAGCAGTCAGTAAGACGTTCTTTACAGCAGAATGACAAATGACGTTCATCAGCCGCAAATTGTTCTCCATCTCTGTAAAAGATAAGCTCCCCTGTGTGTATCTATCAGTTTTAGATTCAATATTCTCTGTCCAACATCCTGGTGATATGGCAATCTGTCGTCTTGAGTTTGGTGGGTCCCGCACGAACACTAGTTAGTTGAACAGTCATCATCGCTCTATATTTCCTACCCAAAATATATCTCGTATTTTGAAGTAGCGATTTGTCGTTTTGATTTGTTTCTGGTCTCAGTAAAACCACTATTCCAGGCGTTACAGCATAAACACTTGCGTTCATATACAGCGTAAGTTTCGTAACCGCTGACATCCTCCAATCTTTTCAGAGTTTCATATTTTTAATCCAGACTATAGAGGCTGTTTTTCAGATGACTTGGAATTATCCAGCGAGTAAGAAGCCTTCTACTTCGTCGCATCTTATTGTCACTTGACAGAGAAGATTTTTTTGAATCTGTTTATTAGATATGAAGATAATTTGTAGATATCTGGGGGCCCAATTACCTTCAACACCTGAGGAGCTCTGAGCTTGTTTACTTGTTAACCTCAGCTAAAAATAATGTTAGCTACCGTTTATTCACCAGGGACCCTGATGAATCAAATCCACGGTCAAACGACTAACTAGTTCGTCGGCTTGATTAATATTCACTTCCTTCTACGTATGCCAAACGAGTGAAGAGTAGATGTTGCACTGATAAGTGTTTAGAGGTGTGTTTCAGTGTATGTGATAGCGAGGAACTAACTCCTGAAATATACAATCTCCATAAATTACGACATCCACACTTCCTGTGTCTTTTTTATCTAAATCGTCAAGCAATGATCTCAGATAGAGATTTACTTTTATTTTTTTTATTTTTGATTACAGTTTGATTCCATACTGTATTTTTGGTACAAGTATGGAATTTTCAGCATGTATATCGACAGCCCAAATTTTGCAGGCCGACCATAGATATCAGGTGTGCGTCGGCAGGGGATCGAACCTCAGACCATGTGCATGGTTGGCGAGAGTCCTAACCACTGTGCCACAAACGCGCACATTAGCAGAGTGATCAAGCAAGTGCCGCGTGCTAGTAAAAACGAAGACTCAAGGTAAAGATTGTACTTACAACCAATCATAATATAGTTAGCTGAAGGGGAAGGCTTTTCCTATTGACCATCCATTGCATCGTCTTAGGCGACCAATCCCTTCACTCTACGTAGCCTTGCATAGTTTAAACATTGGAGAACCGCTGAACTTACCATGCCTTACATCTTAAACGTCCTGCGTTTGCTGCTCCTTTCAGTTCACTCGAATGATAGGGATAAACAAATCGATCAAGAGGAACGAATTCATTTGAAAACTCATTTCCTATACAAAATTCTTTGTTCCTCCACAACCGAAACAGATAACTATAATGACGGAAAAGATTAGTATTTGAAGTCTACTGTTTTGTTTATACTGCAGTGTTGGTACTGGTGAACACTGAATGGGCAATATTCGGTTGGTTCATTACAGCAGCTCTCCATTTTGGTGGCGGACTACAATGGCGGCATTGACGTAGTCCTGCACCCTTTGGTGGAATACTAGGGAAAAACGATCAGAAGCATCAGTATGAATTATACTGATGTTTATTCATATACTTTGTGTCGTAGTAACCTTGTGGCCCCAGTTTGTTGTCAGTGAAGAAATGAACAATCCTCTAATTCCCATTCTGCTTCCATATATATTCGAGTAATTTACTGTACATATTGTAACAACAGAAGACAAGGGCCGGCAACAGATCGCTTTATTACGGAAACCAGCATGAATTTATATATATTTCATGTGCATTATTATAGTTTTGTAACGGTAAATAATTCCCCAAAATTATTGACCACAGCAATCACTCATCATTGGATCCTGACCACCACTGTTTAAATCGACTTGTTTAGCTGAAGGCTTCCGGTCAAGCATCCCCGCCATTTGGTACCCCGTCGTGTCACGCGCGTGCACAATCACTAGCCAGCTGAGCGTTCGTCTGACGGCTTGTTTTGGTCCCGAAATATATCGCGTAGTTTGGACGATCAAATACTGTCTTTTGCTTTGCTTTTGGTACACGAGAATTAATAAGTTAGAAGTTGCTGTATAGGAGATTCCGTCAACCTCTAAACTGGTGAGCCCAACAGCGAACTTCATCCACGATAAATCCGCAGATAACCCCGATGAGTTCGTTCCATTTTGTATTTGTTCTTGTACCATATATTATTCGACATAATTTTCGTCATGAGTGATCTTAGTCCCAAGGTCATTCATATCCGCTCAACTCCTAAAACCATTCAGCTTGTACCATACTGGTCAGATAATGCTGAAACGTGGTTTCAGATAGCCGAAGCAGATTTTTGTGAGCATGGGATAACCGATCAACGTTCACAGTTACTTGCAGTCGTTCACGCCCTACTGCAGGAATTCAGCAAGTACATAACTTCACAGATGTTGAGTCCCGAGGTAAGTAACTCGTACTAGTTGCTCAAAGCATCCCTCCTAAGGAGAAACGTTCTCACGGACCGACAACGTCCGGACGAATTATTTCGTAACATCGAGTTGGGAGATCAGTCAGCCGTGAGCATGCTGACAAGAATGAGAGAAGTTATTGGCCAAAGTCAGTTCGACGAAGGACTATTTGGAGAACTCTTCTTATCCAAGCTGCCACAGTATGTACAGACCGTACTTGTGACACTTCAGGGTGTTGTAATAGATGACTTAGTTATTTCTGCTGATAAGATTCTAGAAATAACTAAACGGTCAGTTCCTGAAATATGCTCGATGACTAAGCAGACTTCAAGTAAGGATCC